CGGGCTGCCAATCTCAAGGTCAGCAGTTCGAAACTACCAGCGGTTCTGCGGGAGAAAGATGAGGTGTTCTGCTCCTGTAAAGATTTACAGCCTCGGAAACCCTATGCAGGGTCACTATGAGTCAGAACTGACTCCATGGCACTTAACAACAACATTCCCTAGACAGAAATGAAACAGTTGGCCACACAAAAATTCTTGATGAGCACATGGCTTTCTCCCTTCCCCTATGTGTCTCTTCACTTAGTCCATTTTCCAACAGCCTCTCCTCGTCCCTAGACATTTATTTCACTACAGCAGAGCATCATAACAGCCTGTACTCAAACGCCATCTCAGCCTCTACTAGCTGTATGACCTTTGGCAAGGTGTTCAACATCTCTAAACCTAAGTTTCTTATCAGCAGTGAAGATAATAATCGTCCTTTCTCAGAGGATTATAACAGGCAATAGAACTCATGTATGTAAAGTGCTTTGTGGAACACCATGCACTTAGTAGTATGCAGTACATGTTAGCTGTTTTGGTGTGGGACTTTCAGATAAGCACTGGTCTGTGATTCAAACCCACCAGCCACTCCTGGGCAAACCTATACAGATTCACTATGAGTCAGAACCAACTCATTGACACTTAACAATAAGCAACATGGTGTTAATAAACAGTATGTCATAGACCATTCATTCTTCCAGACTATATCTGCATGCTCAACACTTTACTAGGTGCCTGAGATACAGTAATGAGCAAGTGAAAGTCTCTGCTCTCATCAAGTTGATTAAAGTAACAGTCATTTAATTTCCTATAAAATAAATATATACTTGGTTCTGGAAAACTCTAAGAGCACAGACAGAAAATAATCCCAAAAATCATGCTTTTTTTTTTCTTCAGGAATTACAGAAATTCCTGGAATGGGTCTTATGAAACAGTGAACTATGCAAAGTAACTTTTCTATACATGTTAGTTTTTCTTTTCTTCTCTTTTAAGAATGCCTTGTTTCTCCAGTTATATTCTGTTTCAAGGACAGGGTCTTTTATTAAAATATTATAAAACACATAATATACCTTCCTTCTGCGAAGTATTAGGAGCTTCACAAATACTAGCCTTAAGAATGAATGAACAAATGAATAAGCAGCTCGATTTTGCTGTTGTTGCCATCCCAATACAGTGACAAACATAAACTCATAATTATGCAAAATAGGTGTCTTTCCCCCAGTTTAAGACATCAACTACATACTAGACAAGATGTTAAAATGAAATTTGGTATACAAAATTCAACTTTGGCAAAATTTTATAGCATGTATCTGTCCTATGCAATGAGCAAATCCACTTTTTTCTTCTCTTGGCTCCCTGCATTAAATCACTATGCTATTATGCCTTTAGCTCAAAACCCTCACATCTCCCTCTTTAAAAGGTTTTCCTTCTCAAAATTCCTATAAATTCAGCTATTTATTTATATGATGACTTCATCACTTTTCATTGTTGTCTTTAAATAAAATACTTTTGGTGAAGTTTTCTCAAACATAGAGTCTGGAACTGATTCGAAGCACTCAACTAACTAAATATCTGGTAAAACAAGATGCTGGAAAGAAACACAAAACAGAAGACTTTATTAGAAAAGGGAGAGGGTCGATAGTACTTCAGGGTCTTGCTATAGTGGGAAAAACAGAAAGGAACAATGAACTGACCTGATCACACACAGATTCCTAGGTGAGAAAATTCCACAACATTCTCCTGCACAACCATTTGAATAATATCTGCTTTTTCGTTGAGATGCTCTATTTCAGAGGCTACTATACCTATTTTTCACTCTCCCTGTCTTTTAAATAGCTATTGAGTCTGCTCAGCAGGGGTATCACGAACATCCAGATATAGCCAAAGGCATAAAAGCTTAAAACAGTCCTCCCAGTTTTCGGCAGGAGCTGGCAAACATTTCTGCACAAAAGCCTCGAGGCCTAAGAATGGCATTGGTGAACATTCTAAAGTGATGATTTCGCCAACATATCTCCCCGGTCTAATTGTTGTTGTG